TGTGGGGCTCGCGAGACACCGGTGGTGCGTGTTAGGGCCGCCTAAAGCGGCTGGGACTGGCTCTTTTTTCAGGGGTTGGGAATCCGAACCATAAAAGCCTCCTCGAACGGCACGAAAACTGAAAAAATAACTTTTTTTTACCCCGCGCCACCCTCCACGCGCCCACGTGCCCACACACCTGCTGCTGTGATTGTTGTGCACACAACCACCACACGGCAACTGGCAAATGTGTACCCACAGCGGGGATCAAGACTCTTGATGCTCATGGGAACACACCGCGCGACACATAAGTCCTCTCGCACAACTCTGGGAGCGGTAATTTGTACATTTCAGTTTCAAAAAATCGAAAAAGTCAAATATAGAAGTTTGGGAAGGTAAAAGTCTACATCTGTCTGCCGTGACTATTCTTGGGCGCGTTGATTGACGTTGGCGCGTCTCTTTGATCCGTTGTTGTTGGTGTATGCGTGAAAAACTCCCACAGACCATGGGAAACACGATCACACAAGAAGCGAGAGTGGTCAAACGCACCGGATTACAGTAGTAGGACCTGCAGCAAACCGCTAGCCAAAACCACTCACTCACTTGCGCACTCAAGGGGGAACGTCACGGCGGGAGAAAACAAAATACCCCGCACATATGATGCAAATTCCAGGCATTTTATTAGACCCCGATTTATAGGAACGAAATCTTGTCGATAAATCTTGATCTTGGCCAAGATCTACCAGTTTCACGATTTATGGGAGCGAAATCTTCCGATATATCTTGGCCAAGATTTCTCGAGGCCCGAAATCTGCCCTTTCGCACAAATCTTGAGGCGGCGTAACAATCTTGCCTGGGTGCGGCGCGATCACCGAAGGACAGTCAACCTAATCGCCCATAACGCCATGAAATCTGCACGTGGCACACTCGCAAGGGTCTCTAACGCACCCTGGCGCCACTGTGTCGGCGCCACGGGCGCCGACAGCGGACGAAAACGACCAAGGCGCGCGAAAAAAATGCGTATTTGCCCTAGCTCGTTCCACGTGCGTCATCACCAGTCTGTCGAGGGACCGTTCAAAGAGTACTTTATTTTGAAGTAGAAAAATAGAGGAGGAGGAACGTTTTGCCAACACAGCTCTGTCGTGTGCGACGCTTCTATCTCTTCATCGAATCACCCCACATCCAATTTGTTTGCACCCGAGCCAGATCCGTGGGTGCAGATGGCAGCGCCGGAGGTTTGACCTCGGTACGCCTGTTACATAGTGAGATACGTGCACGGGTGTCATCGGCTTCGGGTTGATGCACTTTCTTGTCAGTTGGACAGCAATGGAACAATTTTGTTTCTCCGCTTGACATGAGCTCGTGGGCAACGGCTTAAATTTTGCACCCCAGGTAGGCGCCCATCGCTAGTATCCAGCCACAGTGTTGAGGCAATATAGCTGGGGGAGGGACGCCCCTTCTACAACTGCGTAATGCTCACTTTTCGCCACACCTTGGCATTTCTGTGGACCAAGTGGCCGTTGCGCCTTTATCAACTGGAAGCAGAAGAGAGGAACAACACGCCGCTTTTTTAACAATCAAGATATTTCCCCCATAAATCGCGATACTGCAAATCTTGGCGGCGATACCTTGTGAGCAAATCTTGGGTCAAAATGCGAAGATATATTTGCAAGATTCTGTTTCCATAAACAAGGGTCTTAGTACGCAGGTTGCACGTAAGCCGGCACTACCGAACGCTATGACGACCAACCATGCGACCGCGATGGCATTGATTGGCCATGTCCTCTTGCGTCGCCCCCGGGAGACAATCACCTACCTCCCGCAGGGGAACCTCGTATATATGTATATATATATGTTCTTTTTCCCGATAGACCAACAGTAAGAACTGTGTCACGACACGACCGCAATCCTGTGAGTATGGAGGTATAGACAATTACGCTCCGGCTCCCTCGAGCGCTGAGAGCGAGAACCGGAGCTCTGAGAGCGCAGCGGCGGAATTTGGCCCTTCACTCAATGCAAAACGTTAGCGACGATTCTTCGGCTCGCCCGCCACAGAGCTCCGACGGACGCCTCCTCTTCGCGGCGCCCGCCAGAAAAGTCTTTCCGTCGCCTCGCGCCCGTCGCGGGGCCGGGCGGTCGCGCGCCGAGAGAGCTGCACCGCCGTGAAGTCAGCCCAAAATCGGCCGATTTGACCTGCATCCCGGACTGTCTACGCCGGGCTGTTCGTCCAAAAAAGATTTGCGATCCTCATTGGTCGAGCTCGCCAATAGTGGTCGAGCTGTAGGCGGAGAACGTCAACAACGTCAAGTGACATCATCACCCATCATACTGCTGCTGTACTCGGCGGGTAGGGCTTTCTTCCTGTTCGTCACAGGTATACATACTTACACAGCAGCGGGTATCTCCGGGCGGGAACATCTTCTCCTCTTCACAGTCACAATCAACCGTCAGGCGATTGTGCTAAGCATTGAAGCAGCCTGTAACTTACACGCGTACGTCAACACACAGGCATGGCACACGCAAGATCAAGTCTGTACATGCATACCACCTGTCGTTTTCCTCCCCCCCAAAATGTCTGTGTTTTATTAGCGGATTGAGACCACCGTTGTCGTTTATTGAAAGGCGTAGTTTAGGCGTGGAAATGGAGTTTTGGACTGCTGTATTCGACAACACTTCGTATTTCGTGGCAACTTCGATTGGTTCAACAGCATTCGATGATTCAGACCGACCACCGTTGTCGTTTGCTGAAAGGCGTAGTGTAGGCGTGGAAACCGAGATAGATCTGCACGCTTATTACATGCACAAGTTGACCCCCTAAGCGGCCCCTTCCTGGAAGATAGAATTTGGTATCCATAACCCATGGTTTAGGCAGACGGATTCGGCACCGGCGCATTTCCTCCCGGGCAAAATATAGACTAGCAGGAGAAAACGAAATCGATTGGCGAGGAACGTCGACTGACAGCATCACCCATCCATCCATACTGTTCTCGGCTGGTAGCAGGTGTTTCTTCCTGTACGTCACAGGCATGCACAGCAGCATGCAGCAGCAGTCCAACACGAAAGTCGGAATATCGTGTATCTCCCGACGAGAAACCTTCTCCTCTTCACAGTCAACAGTCAGGAGACTGCGCTAAGCATCAAACACAAAGCGGCCTGTTACTTACACAAACTGACATGCGCACGTCAACACACATGATGACACACGCAAGTTCAAGTCTGTATATGCGTACCGGCTTATTGCCTCCCGCCCCATAAATTCTTAGTACTTGCTTGAGACGACTGTTGTTGTCGTTTGCTGAAAGGCGTAGTTTAGGAGTGGTAACGGAGATTTGCACGCTTTTTCTACATGCATGCACAAGATGGAATTTCCAAAACGGCTTCTTTCGGGAAGATAGAACTTGGATCGAAAATACATGGTTTGGGGCGAGGAATTCGGCACGGGCGCCTTTTCCTCGAAACGATTGATGGTTGAACCCGAAAAAAAGGGAAAGTCTATAAACTGCAGAGGGAGCCGGCTTGCTTAATAGCGTGTATACGCGGCAGTTAGCCTGTACGTTGGGTATGCTCAACGGGCACCCGCGCATGTACATGCTACGCGCCGGGTCGATATCCACCTGACTATGAATTGAGGGTTTTTTTCTCCTGTGCCTGACATATTCACGTACCACTGCGCCGGCATGTATTTCTTTTGAGCCGGGTTTTTTCAGGTAGAAGATATATGTAGCATTTGATGCTTGAGACCTCCGTTGTCGTTTGTTTGCCGAAAGACGTACTACTGTAGTTCAGGCCTGGAAACAACGGAGATAGAACTGTATTCAACCATGATTGATGAGACGTTAGATGTACAGCATATCCACTATGCTAGAAGTCAGCACTGAGTTCTAGCATAGTGGATTTATGCTGCATCGAACAGACGGTAGCTGTATTGGGGCATAGATGGGCAGTGAGTTGAAAAGGCGGGAAGTGCTATCGATAGGATAGATAGGCCAGGGAAGGAACGATTGGTTGACGGTGGTGGATCCTGTGGGAAGAATGCTCTCCAAGACGCGGGGTCAATATGGTCAAACCGCTAAGGCATGCAAAACATGCGAGTACCCGAATCTGAAACAAACTGCCTTTGGGGTCACCCCCCACCTTCCTGAATTCTTGTGGTGCAACCGCCGTGTGTGGGCTCCGTTGTTATCTGTACGCACGTTGGTACACCACAAAGGCGGGTTTTTGTTATTTATGCCACGTCGGAACTGAGCACCTGTTATTGTACTCCGAAGTTCTTAGATTTTTTTTATGTTTTGAGGCCCGAGTTCTCACTGTTCTTAGGTGGTGGCGCGTTCTGTATGCGTTCTGTATGCGTTGTACTTGCGTGGCGTGTGTTGCTCGGTGAAATACATTGATTCTTTGTGGTTGGGCATTTCAAAACGAAACACAGCTGATCTCGGCCCGTCACGTGTAAAGAAATACTTGCTCTTCAAGTGACAGCGATGTCATTCGTTTGTGTCAGTCCTATTTGGATTTTGACTGATTTGGATTTTGAAAATACACGCCAAGAGCACCAAAAAGTGCTCAAAAAACGTCTAGTAGGTTGTACAGAGAACATGGAAATAAGTCTACGTGTAGTGTGAGGAGAAATAAACATCATGCACAGGATCACAAACGCTGCGCTGTCGTGATGCGTCTAATTTTTGTGTGGAGGGCCGCCGTTTAAGCCAACACACCCACTAGCCCACTCTCTTTACAAAGACACTCGACCATAACCAATGTACCAGGTACCATACAGTTTACACACACCTCTGTGAAGTAAGATGCCAGACAATTCGTATCGGGCTTTCGTATTCGAAGTATTTCATTACTTAGGGTTTTGGAGAGGACATATAAGCCGTTCCATGACAAGCGCACCATCATACCTTAATACATGCGGGAAATTCCTTTGGGGATAAAAACGATATAGCATCCCGGGTGTTCTTTCCTAACTCGCACATGCTGCCTTTGAACAATCAGGTACAACACACTGGGTTGGGTTTTCGTCCTGCCGGAAAAGAGTCTGGGGAATGCAAGGCTCCAATACAAACGGTGTCCTTCCGATTGGATTTGCAGACAGTATTCGCAAAGCCGGGTGCCTGTTTCTGAATTCGACGCTTGGAGCGGTTGAGGGTCTCTCCGAAGTGAAGGATCTCGCAGGGATCGACACGAGCCGCATATTCGCCTTCGATGGACGGCATGCAGCGATATTGGTGACAGAAGATTGCACTCGGGTATTCTGCCAACAAATTTCAGCCGGCCTCTACGATTTAGGGTGAGCAACAAACACAGATGTAGTTAGTTCATGCTTGCACACTGCTGACTCTTCTTTCGGTTCCTTCATCCCCATGGGGGCCACGTCATTCCTATGTTGGTATTGTCTTCACACCAAAACCGTTCCGATCGTTTCGGGCTACCACCCAGTACCTTCATATATCTGTCAGTAATTATCGTCCCTCCTCTCTTCGTTGTTTATTCTTATTATTCTCGGCTCACATTTTTTTCCTTAAACAGTACTGTATACATCATGTTACAATCGTTCGTTACTATCGTCAAAATACTTAAAACCGAAAAAGTAAATGCATCGACCATTGCCGCACCGAATGCAGGGTGATTGATTGGTGACCCGCGTGTTGGTTGTATGGGACAAATAAATGCTCTTAACACGAAGTTTGCATTGCCCACGAAATGAAATGGTCGAAAAGTCCCGAACTAAATGATTGACGACAGTATCGACCATAGACGCGCAGCACACGTCGGCCGTTCTCGCAGACTTACTCGACCTCTATCACCTTATGGCCCTTATGCCCCCCCCCGCCCCCAGTGGGCGGGGGGGCGCATGCTTCACCCTAGTCAAACCTACGAACTTGAACACCATTTGTGAGCCCGCTCAAGAACCTAAAGACTATGGCGACCATCTGTAGCCCACAAATTGTAACTAAGAACCTCAGCTTCAGCCAAAACTAGAGGTTCGTAAGTGTGGGCGTATCTGTAGTTATACTACCCAAGCTCCGTTGTGCGCCCCGCCAGCTCCTCCACGCTTTTGGAGTCCATGAAGTGGAGGTCGGGAGGAGTAGAGAGGTTCCGAGAATCAGCCCGGCAAGAGCGAGCTACATACCTGCTCAGTATCTCCTACACTGTATCAGTTTGTGGTGGCACATCATATTCCATCACAATACTCCAGCATTTTGCCTTTCGCTTTTGCTCTCCGTTGATGATGAAATAGCGGCTGTGTCAACCCCACATTGATTTTCATGTTTACAAACCGTACTGGGGGACGGGCAGAGTAGAGAGACTCCGAGACCCAGTGTAATGTGGGCTAGCCATGTCTATCTGCTCAGGATTGCCTGTGGCAGTCCCTAGGTTGTGAGGCATGTGGATGTCATGTTTCGGCTGGCATCAATCCCTACTGTTTTCTGTTGTATTCCTGACACCGTTGTCGATCACTTGATGTAAGTATTGGATTGGATGAGGCCTCCTGCCCCCGAGGCAGGAGGTCCTCGCCCCTGGGTATATCGCCGCGGCGTGAAACGTTTACGCCGCGGCAGCATGCCTAGGCAAATGATCACCGTGGTGGAAAATATCAACTACAGGAAACTAGATGGGCGGGTGGGATGGTCTTTAGTTTCCTGTCCTCTGGCATTCTTTTGAGAGGTTTTGGTTGTTCGAAGAGACAAGTGCCAACAGGCGTACCGATTTCAAGTAACTTGGGGGGTTCGCAGCTGGTAGTGTTCCGTGCCGGAACTGGTTCCATCTGATTGGCTCCCAATTATGCTGTTGTATTCTTGACACCGTTGTCGATCACTTGATGTAAGTTTGGATTGGATGAGGCCTCCTGCCCCCCCGGCTGGCGGACCTACCCAAAATTCCGTTGTATTCACATACCTCTTCTTCGACGCCATGCCGGGGGGCGGGTTACCGCCTCACAATCCCCGCAACTTACTTGAAACCTGCCGCCGGGCGCGCCGAGAATCGCTCAGCCCAATCGGGGCCCGACAACGCATCGTTAGCCCCTGCGGAATCTCTATACGACAAGCAGCTTTCTCTCCGGCTTGCCGGTAGTCGCCGGTGCCGTGCGTTCTATTTTTTTTTCGGGCTCAAAGCTCCCACCTTCTAGACTGTGCCTACCGCTGTGCCCCACCACGAATGTCCTTCGACCCGAAAAGGAGGGCAAGGTGATCGTAACGGGCAAGGTTCGCTGCCCGCGACTTGCAGGGCGGCCGTCATGCGGGGAACGCTTCCCTGCTGCGGTGACGCTTCTTGTTGAGCCCACTCAACGCCGTTGGCGGCTGCAGTGCATGCAGCGGCGGCAACATGCAACTTTCGGGACATTGCGTCGGCAGAAACAAACACTGCGTCAGTGGACGATAGCAAGAACTTACCGAACCCGTAGGCATGGCAACTTGAAGCCACGCCTCATGGAGTGTAACGCAAGCGTGTAGAGCGCAACGTCCCGCGATACGGCAATATACTCTCCCGGCGAACACGCGAGCGTCGCCCCAGTTCGGATACTCCGCAGAACTTGCTCGGGGTTGAACTAGCATTTGCTCCTCGGAAACAAGTGTCGGGTAGGAAGAAACTAGGGGCTAATACAGGGGTTGCCCGCGATGCTGGTGGTGTGCGCCTCACTTTACCCCAACTGCACCCTCATCGCCCAAATAGTTCAGACGCAAAACTGTTGTGCATGGAGCCTGCCGTATACCTTGTGACTCATCCGTCTCCCTGTAAGTTTAGCCACGAAACGTTTGTGCCTGAAGCCTGCCGCACACCTGGTGACTCATCCGGAGCCAGGAGGGGCAGTCGGCCGCCGTCACGGCTCCATAACGCCCCGTGGACAAAGGTACATGGCAGCCTCGCTCGTGGTACTGCCACCGGGGAAACCTGCCGACAGGACCCTGCGATGTGCCCCACTGGGAGCTCGACTGTTTCCCATCGGGTACAACCACCACGGCGCGAGCCTTGCGCTCGGCGAGGTGCGGTACGCCGCGGCCGACCATCACGGGCGCCGGGAAGCAAAATCAAACGGCTTCTACTAGAGACTCGAGAATTACGGCGACAACGCGCGCTAGCACATCCACGCACCAAACATCCAACTTGCGAGAACCAATGGCCGCTGAACGCCGCAGGTCAACGAACGCTGGGCCGATGAGCTGCACGTCATCAGATCTAATTTGAACCGGCTAAGGTCCTCCTATGAACCGCGGAAAACGAAGGGAGCTAGCAGGACAACGGAAGCTCGGGACGTCCTCCATATAGCGTCGGCAACTCCGGTCCGGTCGGCGAGGACCCACTTGAGCGACAAGGGGAACCCACACAGGATTGGCAGTTCGAACGGCGGAAGGAGCAGTGCGTGCGGTGCGCCGTTCCTGGCACGGCCCTTGGCTAAAGCGCCAACTACGGACAGATTATCTACGGCTACAAGTGCTTGGGCGCGTTACACGGTGTCCGGGTGCTAGTCGCAATACTGCACGAACGGCGGACACCTACTTTTGGAATTGTGTTTGGAGAGCCATTCTCTGGACAAACTGGTTATCAAGACTGGTTATCAGTGGCGCGGACGACCCCGCCGCAGCCCACCGACGACTAATCTGCAGCGCCGCCGCCGAGGGCGGCCGGGACGGGGCGACTTTTCCGTCACCATTATCGTACTGAGCAGCGGTGGGGATGCCGGGCGAACAGCCACTGCCATGCGATAGAATTAGCGCCCACTAGGACTTAGGACAGCAGTGAAAACGGCGAGGGAGGATACCCGGCCTGGATTAAATGACGCAGCATCGTGTCTATCATGAACGGAATACAGCAGCCGTTGATTTTGGGGTTGCACCTACTGGTTAGGGAAATGTCGAAACGATGCTGAGAATCCAGGCGAACCGCCGAGAAAACGTAACGGAGCACAGAACCACTGCAACGAGACTCCGGGCCATTCCTACAATTGTTCAATATAACGAATGCGAGTGTTCAATGCATGTGGTAGGAAGTATCTGCGGCTAGAGTCGCGCGCGTGTCTGTGATACGAAAACGTTGCAGCCCCCCCCCCGTGGGCATGAGAAACGCCGGAAAATAGAGAGTGTGAGTGCAGGCTGTCGGCGGTAGCGACGACAAATGAAGGGTCTCGGAAAAGAAACGCGCTGTCGCCGGCTGCGCGCCCCCTGCGGGTGGCGTTAGCAGGGAAAGGAAAGGGGAAGTCGTTGGCGCCCCAAAGCATACAAGTACTAACAAACCCCCGTCGGCGGTGTATTTATCCTCGAGGGTTGCGCGGGGAGGGCAAACCGCGGCGGACGTGCGACGGGCTTGGCCATGGTGGCATTTCCAAGCACAGCAGGCGCCCCCGTCAAGCTTATTCACGCAAAGCGTGCAGAAATAAACAAGCGATTATTGTGCGGGATAAAGCGTACACACCACCTGATACGTTCACACCAACGCCGCACGGTAGCGTCGGCGGTATACATGACGTTGGCAAGACCAGAACTAAAATATCGGCGGAACGTGAATCCCCAAGGGAACTAAAATTTCGGCGGAACGTGAACCCCCAAGGGTTTCGCGGGGAGGGCGGGCTTACGACGAGCTAATGCTCAGCCAGCGTCGGCAAGGAGGCGTACGCGCTGTAGCGACGCACCCAGAATATATAAGTAAATAGATACGTATGCAACCAAGATCAACCATTGGGTGTGCATGCGAACCACGGCGCAAGTTCACGGCGACATCGGGTCCAAAGCGAGCGACAAAGCCTTACAGATGAGTAACCTGCTTGGCCCATGGGGACCACGTAGCAGATCAGCACAAAGAAGACAACCGGTCGACAACGAACGGCCGTCAAAAAGTGCCTGTGAAGCTACAAGACTTCGCGCGGACGGGTCATACCCACTACTTCAGTAGCCGGCTATCGTGGCCCCCAGCAGGCCACCTCTAAACTACATAGCGCGAGAGATGGTCGTACTGCTGCTGGAGGTTCGCAACGCTAGGATCACATGTGGCAGCACAACTCGTGTGCTCGGCGTAAAGCCCAACGGCAGGCGGACCCGCCTGAGCATATTTCGACGAGGCCTAAGCAAAAGCCGACAGACAGCTGTGCAAGGTAATGGATTAGAAGAGCAGGCCACGCGGTAGCGTCTGTGGCATGCGAAGGGAGTCCCACCGGTGACTTTCGCGGGAAAGACTCGATATTGTGTCAGTGTATCACCGGCCCGGGCGGTGGTATGTTCGCCCCACGGGTTGCGTTAGCGGGGGAGAGGAAAGCTGGCCAATGTACCCAAGGAGCTGCACGAGCACTAACAC